GGTCACAGTCATCTGCTTAGACGCAGGCTGGCCCCCCGTCCTGAGTGTGGTGTCCCTGTGGCAGTCCGTGCCCTTCCCCCATACCCCTCCACTCCAGCTGGGCCAGGAATGCTTTGGGGGAGAGCCTTTTAGCATTCCCAGGATGTCCCCATGATGATGACAACCATGTGATTATGGAGAGAGCACAGGACTTGAGCTGGGAGGCAGAGAGGGAGAGTCCTCAGAGGTAAAAAGGAGTCAAAGAGGTCGGATGTGGTGGCTCACACCTGTAATCTCAGCACTTTTGGAGGCCAAGGTGGGAGGATCACTTGAAGCCAGGAGTTTGAGACCAGCCTGGGCAATGTAGTGAGACCCCGTCTCTACAAAAAAAAAAAAAGAAAAGAAAAAAAAAAAAGGAGTCAGAGAGAGAGAGACGAGAGAAGGAGAGAGAATCTGAAGGAAGTTTAGTGGGAGGAATTGTAGCTCTCATGAGAGTTGACCATCGCGCTTGCTGCCTGCCTGGTGCAGTTCTGAGTGCTTTGTCTGGATTCCCTCATGTGACCCTCAACCTTGTGAGACAGCTATTGTAATTATTCCCATTTTGCTGCTGAAACAACTGAGCCCTGGGGAGGTGATATAACTTGACCAGGTTTTTCCAGCTGGTAAGCGACAGGGCTGGGACTTGAACTTAAGCAGTTTAGCTCCCAAATCTTTGCTTGGAGTCACCTCCCAAGGACACTCAGGAAACTGAGGGGTGGGGGTCTGGGGGAAGGAGGAGCTGGCAGGTGAGACACAGAGGAGGCGCTTATCCCCTGTGCCCTGTTCAGGAGCCTGTAATCCCTCCACCCAGTCTCAGGACTGGTCCTCGTTCCAGTGTCCCAGGATTGTTGGGTGCAGAGCAGGGGCCCCTCCTGGGCTCCTGAAATCGGGCCCAGGGCTCTCCTCCCGACTGACATGCATACCCTGCAGGAACCCCATGCTTGAGCCCCCCACCCAAAGGGGAGAGTGAGGTGCATGCAGTGGGGCGGGGGTGGCGTGTCTGGGCCCCACTCTGGGCGTGGGCCCAAGTCTGAAGGCTACTTACGGGGCTGGATCACGGGGTTGCCTGGACACCCATCTGTCCATACGTCGCTCACGTCTGTGCTGGCTGCCTGGACGGGAGGGCAGGTGGGAGGCAGCTTGGAAGGAGAAGTGAGGGATGAGTGAGAAGGGGGTTCTGTCCCCTTCTGCCACCAGCCATGAGGGACAGAGGCTTATTCATTCACTGTCGCCTCTGTCCCTCCCTTGGGTCAGGTCAGCCTCTTGCCCCGTCGTGTGACTCAGGCCTGGGAATGGGAGGAAACCCCAGAAGTAGAGACAGACTTCCGGTCAGGAGGGCAAGGGAGACCTGGGCTTGTGCCGATCACACCTGGCTGAGGCCCAGGTGGAGAGGAGAGGTCCCCGGAGCGGGACACAAGATGCTTGTCCCTCAGGGTTCTGGGGTGAACGGGCAGTGCTGTGGCACATCCTGTCTCAGCACCCTCTGCCTGCCCTCCAGCTCCAGTGCAGGGCATTCTGTTCAGAGGAGCCACCTAGCATTTACTATGTTTTGATTTATTTAAAAATCTTTAAAAATCACGGACATTTCAGCCATGTACGAAAGTGCAGCAAGTAGGGCAACGAGCCCCCACGTACCCATCACTCAATGGTTGTCAGCTCTTGGCCAGTTTTGTTTCTTTATTTTCCTTCCCTCCCTGCCCCTGCAGCAAATCCCGGACTCTGCCGCGTCACTTCTTCCCTAAATGTTTTAGTACATATCTCCAAACAGTGGGTCTCAAGTGGAGACAGTTTTGCCCTCCACCCCAGGGAGTACTTGACAATGTCTGGAGCTATTTTGGTTGTCGCATTTGGGGAATAGGGTGCTACTGGCATCTCGTGGGTAGAGGCCAGGGATGTTCTAAACATCCTCCAGTGCACAGGTCGGCCCCACAAGACAGAATTAACCTCCCCCTCACATTGCTAGTAGTATGGAGGCTGAGAAGCTCTGCTCTAAAAGATAAGGTCCCTTAAAAACAAACCACCCACAACTATAACACCATTCTCAGACTTCAAAAATAGCAATAACTTAGGCTGGACATGGTGGCTCATGCCTGTAATCTCATTACTTTGGGAGGCCAGGGTGGGAGGATTGCTTGAGTCCAGGAGTTCAAGACCAGCCTGGGCAACACAGCGAGACATCAGCTCTACCAAAAAAAAAAAAAAATTAAAAAATTAGGCATGGTGGCACATGCCTGTAATCCAGCAACTTAGGAGGCTAAGGTGGAAGGATCACCTGAGCCCTGGAGGTTGAGGCTGCGGTGAGCCATGATCATACCACTGCACTCCAGCCTGGGCAACAGAGTGAGACCCCACTTAAAAAAAAAATAGCAATAACTTTACAATCGATCATTAAATATCTGATTGGAGTTCATATTTTAGAGGGTGCTGTTTTTGTTCTAGGTGTTCTACAGGCCTCTGGGTCATGGGCTAGTTTTCAGACACTGCCCACAGAGCAGGAGAAGGGATATGCAAACTCATGTGTATGCAGTGTGGTTTGCTGGTAATATATTTGGATGGGCCGGACTCGGTGGCTCAACTCGTAATTCCAGCACTTTAGGAGGCTGAGGCGAGTGGATTACCTGAGCCTGCGGGTTCGAAATGATCCCTGGCAACTTGGCGAGACCTCATCTCTACAATAAATAAAAAAATTAACCGGATGTGGTAGCACGCGCCTGTAGTTCCGGCTACTTGGAAGGTTGAGGTAGAAGGATCACTGGAGCCCAGCAGGTCGACGCTGGGGTGACTGTGAGCATGCCACTGCACTCCAGCCTGGGTGACGGAGTGAGACTCCAACTCAATATATATATATATATGTGTATATTTGAAAGGTTCTGCACTAGAAATGTACAAAGCACAGAAGGTGCCAGCTCCCCGTCCAGCTCTGCCCCTAGCCACCTGGCTCTCCCCGCAGGCTACTTACTCTCTCACTCAGTGAGCTGCTTCCATCTGTGCCTGGTTGCATGGAAATCAGCCTTGTTCTTTTTCATAGCTGTGTAGTATTCCTTGTATGGTCAGATGACCAATCCCCTCTTGATGGACATGTAGGTTGTTTCTGAGGTTTTACTGTTAAAACAGTGCCACGGTGAGTAATGCATATCATTTTATAAGGTCCATGAGAACTATTAATACAATGAGAGGGCCTGGGTGTTAACCCTCAGTTGGTCAGACAGTCCAAAAAAATCAATCAGCTATTTCCCCAATCCTTTGTCACTCTTGAAGCTTCCGATGATTTGGGCCTTTCCCACCAGTGAGTTCCAAGAGGGGAAGCAGTGAAGGGCTAGCCAAGTGGCTGGGCATGGGGGAGGACACCACAGGGGCTGAGCTGGGCCATGCCCTTTTGGCTGCGCAGAGTGGACCTGTAGTGTCCCCACTCAATCTTCCCTTTAGTCATCTGTCCCTGTATTAGGTGGCTGTTAGACCTACAGTGTACTGACTGTGTGCTCCTAGTCTCTTCCATCTACACACCAAGCTCATTCTTCTGGGGGCCTGCACTCCCTGGGGTTGGCTTTGCTTCCTGCCTACCCAGATGTCCCATCCCCTTCTGCCATTGTATGGGGCCTTATGACTATGGGGAACCATCCTGGTCACTCATTGGCTTGTTGCATTCCTCTTTTTCCCGAGGAGGGAGTTCCATGAGTGTTTTGTTCACCACTGTCCCCAGCGCTTAGGACACAGTAGGTGCTCAGAAAGGTCTTCGTTGAAGTGCATGGAATTGAATGCCCGTATTGGGGTGGGGCTCTTAGGCCAGCAAAACTTCTGCCCCCCTTCCTAAGGAGAGGGAGCTGAGTGGTCTTAGAGGTGGTTCCTGGGGCTAGGGATGCCCTAGGCTTTGGCCAACCCTTCTGCTGGGCTCGTTTCTCTGCCCTCAGTTACCACAGGGCCTGAAGCCCTGGCCGCAGTTTCTTGGCCAGGATTGAATCTTCATAGTTCCCCAGGGGGATACAAATCTCAGTTTCGATACCAGCCGGATCCATATGTGCCCCCTCCCCCATCACCCTGGACATCTGAGTGGCCAGAAAGCACAAGGAAGGGTGAGTGTGGGCCAAGGGAGGGGGTGGAGAAGT